GTAGTTTAAAAAGGTTAGCAAGATTATGTTTCTAAAATTTAACAATTAACTTATGGAATAACCCACAAGTGTTTTAAAAAAGGGTAAGAATCTTACAGTTCAGTCAAGGCAAGGAGATGAGAAAATGAACCGTCTTCTATAGCTTTTATTTTGTTATTTGATAATACTCTACAAGTAATATATTAATAACATTGCTCTAGGGTTTTAAAAATTCTAAACAGGATTATTAGGACCCCATCAATGTTACAAGGAAATAGCTATATAATTTTTCTCGTAGGCTATATATTTTGTAAAATGCCGGGAACAATTTACGATTAATACAATTAGCATGGGTAAATAAAATATTATTATATAATAAAATATTTTATGATACGATTATAGTTATATTCTTACAAAAACGTCAAGCTGGAAAGGCCATCAAGCATTCTTTTAGTGATGACGGTAATTTCGTTATCATTTAAATTTCTTATATGTCAGTAATAATTAAAATGTAGAATTATAAATGTATAGTTCCAAGTTAATATACCCTTTCGTGCAATTGTTATTTTTAAAAAAAAAATACAATGCAGTTAAAAATACACTTATATTAAAATAAAAACTGTTACTCTCTAGAGAATCCTTACGTTTACTATTTAGTTTTTACTTAGTAATTTATAATATATGATATAATGAAGACAAATCTTACATGGACGTTACAGAAGAGTATATATTCGCTTCTATCGGTGGAATAGTTTTTAAGTGGCACCCTCCTAAAAACCTTTAAAATATGTAGTATTTTCGTAAAGGACGACATAACATCAGGTATAATATAATGCTGAGAAGTTCTATGTGTGGATACTTCATTATAGTCAACAGTATATTATTAATGACATAAACTAGGACTACAGACAAAAATTTTGATCAATATTATTCCTAATTTTCTTATGGGTTTCACATTTACGATGTGTCAACAACTGGTTTGGCAGGGGTGGGTACTTACAATTCTTCATGGTTGTTGTACGCCCCTGGTCCGTGTGATTCTTGTTCAAACTGTGAATACACCCATCTCCCTTGAAAAATAAATAATAAAAGTACGGCAAAGAGACAGTACACACGCTGCATACTGACAATTGCTTCCAATTTTGACACTAACTTGCTCTTAAATACTTGCAGAATAATCTTGTTTAAGTTGACTGATTAAATTTTTGCATTCCTATCATATTTTAACGCAATCTGTTACCGCTTCCCTAGTTTGTCTGCCATGAGAAAAACGCAAAATTTTCTAAAATGTTTACTTTAATGCTGTGATTAATGAAGTAATATTATAAAAAACCTTTATAAAATAATAAAAAATTTTACTTATTCATAAAAAAAAATACTTCTCCGAATTCATAACTTCAATTTGTTATGTTGAAGAAGAAATAAAGTAATACAATTTTTATAAGAAAACAAATTTTATTATTTTTTTAACTTTTTCTAGTTTTCATGAATAATTGTAAATAGATATTATTTTTACTTATTATTTTATTGTACCACTAAAAATATACATGTAATATTTTATTTTTATATATACACAAGTTTTTTACCTGACTTTTATTAGAAAAAATGAAAATAATAATAAAATATATAAAAAAACTTTTTTTTATATTAATTAAATATTTTTCATTCTAGATAACCACTTTAATACTGCTTTAATCGTAAATTCTTTAAATTCGTTATATTTAATAAATATTCGTATTCATTAAATTTATTTTCCGTTATAATTATAAATTTTTATTATAATTACTTTCTTTTTGTGTTATAATAATAATTATATATAGAACTTTTTAAAAAAGCTTATAATTACCACAAAATTTTCAAAATAATGATATCAAATATAATCAAATACCACATGAAAGTCAAGAACTTTTAAGAATGCAATTATTATATAACTATATTAATATACTTTTTATTTATTTTATATGAAAAAAAAAATTATAACAGTTTCTATTACCCATGATTTTAACGAGAAATACTAGCAATCATACATAATGTAAGTGAAATAATAGTAATTCCTACTTTTTTTTGGAGAGATGTAGTAAATATAATTTCTTAATTTGATTTCATTAATAAAATGTATACATTTTCTGTAGTTTACTTTATATTTCTATAGTTTTATTATATTAAGTTTTAATAAATTTGTAACAATCATTTATAGTTCATTTTAAAAAAAATAATCGTAGAACGGGCTTGGAATACCACGTGATAATGCTATTTAAAATAACTGGTTTGGTGTTTACGTTGAAGTTTAAAATGAACGTTCCCAGTTTCAAATCGAAGGAATCAGGAAAGTTTTATGAGGAGCTAAATAAAATATTTTTATAAACTTATATATTGCGATATGGTTATTTTTTCTAGATATTTAATTAGTATTATTATTATAACAGTGGTTTTTTCAGGTCTCCCTAGGGTTGTGGGCTGTTGTAGGAGTTTTGAGGGTTGAATGTTTTACAAAAAAATGACATTACAAATGCACTCCCGTGTCTTGTAAGTCGGCCTCTTCAGATAAAATTATTGGGACAGGTCTCATTGTCACTAAAATATTTTTATAGTTAGAGAAAGTCTATAAGCTACTTATCTACTATAAGATTTCAAGCTATTTTTCAATTCTATCATTACTACCCAATAAAGCTAATATTAGAAACAACCATAAAGCTTAACTTCTGTAATGTTATCTTAATTTTATAGACAAAAATTATATATTTTTTTTATTCTTTTTTTTTTTTTTAACTTTTCTTATAGTATAAGTTAAACTAAGTAAATTGTTTAATCCTGGTTATAGCATTTCAAATATCTGGTTACTGTAACCTAAGTGAATTTTTCTTTTTAGGTTTGAAAGGAACTTTAGTTTCTTAGTAATTCAGGTGTATTACACTTTACGAAATAATTGTATATTGCAAGATACGCTAACACCTACATTTTAGTTGAACCTCTCGAAGATTTAGCTTAAGTCTTTATTTCAAATAATATTTTGTTTTACTAAGTAATTTGAACTTATAATTTCAATATAAAAAGCCTATTTTATTTTAGAGTTACAAATATGCAGACAATACTTAATTAATAAAATTATTACAAATTTGAAAGGGTAACGTCAGTTTTCTTTTTGCTTTTTCATACCTGCAAAATATAGTTTGTATGACAAATTATATAGATGTAAAAGATCCTATAAAACTGATAAATATAAGTGCACCGAAAACGGAAGTATAAAAAAGTCAAAGAGTAAAGAGTATTAAATAGCAAGGACACTTGAAGTGCTAAGAAAAAAAGTAAGTCAAAGGAACTTATTTATACTACTACTGATAGATATACCAAAAAAAGTAAGTAAAACGGTTTACTTGACCGCAAAATCCACCTTACAAGATTTTAGAGTTTGAATTATATATAAACTATATATTTGATAACATAGATTGTAATAAATAAAGGGTGATAACATTTTATTTTAAGTAAAAAAGATAAACGGATAGACTCTGAAAAAAGGCATACAAAGGTTCGAATTTATTTTCACAGCTTAACTTAAACCCAGACCAAAAATAAACAAAGCTATCAACCATTAGGAAAATAAGAAGTAAAAATTATTGTAAATCTCTAACACAAAAATACTTTTTTAGTTTTATCAAAAACCTTCTTTAAAAGGTCAAAATCTACATAAAAATCTAAAATTTCTCGTATAAAAACTACAGGCGGCCTGCGATGGGCAACAAACATTAAAATTTAAAGTTTTTCCTAAAGTAAAAGAGCCAAAATGTTTTAATTTCGTCTTTATTCATTTATGTAGCCTGACTAGTTTACCAATTGGACCCCATTTTAGGAGTTATTCCCAAGGGCTTACAATAATTAACTTTATTACTTGTGACCTAAGAACCTTCTCTGTGCCGTGTCCTAACGTCTCGTGTTGTTTATTAACGGTCATGTTGTTAACCCTCCCTATTGAGACTGAAAAAATGTGAAGGGGGTTGTCCATTTCCTGTAAAAGGCTCTAGTACCCGCGGGATACTTAAAGCGTCAAATATCGGATTTCAACGTTAGTAGAAGTATCAGGCACTGGGAATCCCTAAAAATGTCTATAAGTTCCTCATTTAATGTGCAACCTTGCAGACCTTTTCCCTTGACCCACTCGCGTTACAAGGGCATAAGGTTGCCCCAACCTCAGTGGCAATTTTCCTCAAGGGATCACCGGGTGAATTCACCCTACGCATATTTGTTTCAGATAAAGTGTGTCGGGCAAACTCTTGTGGTTACCTCTGGTTAATAAGCCTGCATTACATCTCTGTTGAGCTGTAAAACAACGGTAACAAGCTCAAATATGCGTGAGTGGCATTACTATCAAGAGCCAAACCAAATTTATTATAGACGTTTTGTCTGGCATCAATAAAAAATTCATTGGGGTCAAAAACGTTTATATGCATTCCAATTAATAATTTATTTTTTAGATAGTTATTAGCTTCTCTCCTCGTGCTAGTCTTTTTAAATTGATATTGGACCGGCCAAGAAAAAGGTAGTAGCTAAAATCATTGACAGTAGCTTGGGGTACATTAAATTTTCCTTTATGCTTATTAGGTCGTGCTACAAAGGCGCCATTTCCTTTCTTCAAAATCCCATTTAACTTTAACCGTTCTTTTAGGCGTCACCTCACATATCATGACTACTTTATACAATTGTTCTCTTTTTTCATGTATAGTGACTCCTTTTGAGTATACTACTGAAATAAACTTATTACCTTTATAATTTTTATTTCCAGGAACAGATTAAAAAAGGTTGATATATGACCTCTTTTTAAAAATGATCTCTAAACATTTTTTAAAATTCTTCATTAATGAGTTTAAATGGTCTATTAACGATTTCAGTCATACATCTAAAGGAAGCTTTAAATATGATTTATTAAGCAAGGAAAAGAAAGTTGAATGCATATAACTTTTGAAAGAAGCATCATTAGTGGCACTCGCTTTGCCCAAAAGGAGTTAACTTTAAAGTAGAAATATTAATTCTTAAGATTTCTGAGTATGTTGGAATGTACTCATCTACAATAATGTCCAAAGCGTCGCTTTTTTACCACCAATTCCATGGATAAAACCTTTTTCAAGCTAATCTCTAAGGGGGGGCTAATTCTTTTATTATGATGCGCTATGTTAATTAAGGGTATGCGGTATTTCAACTTTTCTAAGTGGTAGATCTTTAATTTTCTCTTTAGGAAGAAACGGTAATTCCAGTTTTCTTCGAAGTAAACACAGCACAGTCCGAAACAGACCGGGGAGGGATGGAAACATTAGTGCCCTGATTCTAAAGAAATTTTTATAATACTATCGCAAAAATAACCGTATAAAACAAAAAATTACAATCAGGGGAGTAAAAACCATTAAAAATGTTTCGATCAATCGTTATGACCTTTTCGCGAAGAACTGAGGTTTGAGAATAGTAGAAGGCAGCCTTGCAAACATTCATCCCCAAATGCTCCTTGCCAGTCATTGAGATGCTGGCCAAAAAAAAAAAAAAGGTAAGTTAAACTCTACACGGTAACCGGTTAAGGAATACGTAGTGCCAGCCGCTTAAGAACATTTTAAATTTTTTCTCTTTCCCGCAGCACTAGCCGGTTTCCCTGAAACCAAGGTGTAGCCATAATTATTACCCGTTAGTAGGCTTCGTGAGGTGTGCGGATGATAACCACTCTTGTAAGCTCTAAAGCAATTCAGAAGGGTACTGTAAGAGTTTCATCTTGTGAGCATCAAAATTTTTTTGTAAGACTAGTTATTGTTCTAAATGAAGGAAGTGATAGCCTTGCATTTAGGTGCAAGATTACAGGAAAATAAACTGTGGGTATTTTCAAAGGCGGAACTTTGAAGGAAAAGGAGGTCAATAAAAATTGAATCAATAACTGTTTCAAAAATTTGAAAGGGTATGCCTGGTTTTTGAAAATGTGAAGAGGCTAAGATTTAGGTATTCGATAATTTTTGTATATAACTTTAAACTTTTTTTTCATTATTATGTAAGAATTCTTTATCAACAAAGCTTTGGAGGTAAAAAAACACTTTATACTTTTATCACATAGAAAGCCACTGAGTGCAGAATAAAACTTGTATAATTTTCCATTAATACAATGACTTTCGTAGTTGATTTTATAATGGATAGGGGACAAATTTTCAAAAGGAACAGAAGAATTTGAAAGAGTTATAAAAACGCATAAAATACGCAACAGTTGTAAATAAAGCACAATAGTAAGTCTGCCTCTCTTATTAACTTAAAAAAAAATAGCAATGCAACCAAAGTAAGTATAAGTTGATTATAAAAGGCACGCTGGTGAGTCGCTGACCTTAAAAAAGTGAACTGCAATGCGGGTTATATCTGACCTATTTAACAGAATCTATCTTATTAAATTCAATGACATATCAAGGAATATTAACTTATGAAACTCATCAATATATTAAAAGCACTCATTAGGCCATCAATATCTAATAGATAGTGACAGCCCTTCCAGGGTAGAGTGAAATTTTAAACAGGAGAACAGGGACTAAGAGTGGTTTCTAAATAAATTGGCGACTTCTCTTTCAAAGGAGGCAAGGAGAAAACAAATAAAATTTAAATGCATAAAGAAGGAAGAACCAATGGCAAAGTGTAGTTATAGAGAAAGTCTATACTACCTAATTTTTTTACAAACTGTGGTCTACGAATAGGAAATAAATTAATAAACTAGCGCTAATAACCAGTTCACACGCAAATATTGTATATATAGGAGAAAAGGACTGTTTGAAATAGCATAGGTTTATAATTGCAAGTTTCTTCTAAAAAGGATGGGGAGTTTTTAATAAGGCGAAAAGGAAAGGAATTAGCGGAAAGGTAAAACGGTTTTGTTAGTATCCTCTGTTAAAACGCTTAACTTGACAACACTTTTAGTAATAGGGCAGTCAAAGTCCAAGAATGATATAAAATTTAAATAAAAAAAAAAAAAATTGTCGTCAAGTTAAGTAAAGAAAACAGATTTAAGTAATTTTTAATAAAGTAACAAGTCTAAAAATTATAGATAAAAAACAAGTATTTTAATAAAAAAGGGCAGATTATAGGTTAAAGAAGTAATAGAATAACTAACTAAATAATAAAGAAATATATTTGAAAACAAAGAACTAAAAGGGCAAAATGAACAAAAAAAAAAAAAAAGAGAAAACTGAATAGCAAAAAGCCGAAGTGTCATACGTTATAGAACTGGCTTACTACAGATGTGATTTATAATTGATTGCTGCTTAATTTACTTTAATCGAGGGAGCAAAAACCACTAGTTCCTTAACGATTCTATGGGCCATTAACGAGAACAGGTGCGCGTTCTCATAGGTAAATAGTATATAATAAAAAGACGTAGAAGCAAGTAATAAAAATATTAAGTGAAAAGGGATGCATTCCATAATATTATACACATATATAATTAAGTTAATTTAATAAATAGGTAAAGTTAGCCATACCCCTCCCCTCTTTTAATAGGTCTAAGAAATGTTTTGACCGGGAGTACTTGGCAACGTAGGAGGAGCCGTAATCAAGAGGCTGTCATATAAGATTAACTTACATAGGCAGGAGGTTACACTTTCTATGTAGCTAGCTGTTGTGCACAAAGCAGGAGGACATCCACCATTTTTAGTAGGCGATTTTGTAGTATTTGTAGAGGAATGAATATGTTTGTTTAAAAAATAGGCACTAGTGATAGAGTCCTAGACCACCAGCAGGTGTATAGGTACAGAAACTCTTTTTTTAAATGCAGGTTGCCTTTCCTGGATAGTAAGGGATCTAACACGGTTATAGCTTTTTCTGGTTTTATAACGACTTAAGAAAAATGTGGAGTTTAGCTTAGTCGATGGTCACGTACAATTTTGAGGTATCTAAGCTTCTTAATTCGAGGGCTGACAGTTTACCTGAGACCTAAGGGAGTATCCCTCCCTTTGTTATAATTACAAAGCTACTTTTCGACTCATTAATTATCAACCTCTGTGTGGAAAGGCATGTCTCAATTACTATCAACTGAGACTGTATGTTTTTAAAGAGCAGGCAGGCGGGTTCTGAACTATACTATAAGGCTGTATTGTCAACGTATTGAGTCTAGTTTTCTATTTTTTCGACAGTTGTGGCATGTCGGACATGTAGATAGAAAAAAGTAAAGGGGATACTAAGAAACCTTGTGGAACACCCGTCTTTAATTGTCTAAAAGCGGAGTTCAACGAACTTACTCTAGCGGTAAAGGTTCTATTCGTTAGGTATGAAGTGTACCACCACCGTCAAGTAAAAAGGGGAGCTAGATGGTCGTGTCCTATTTTAACGAAGGGCCTTCTCAATTTCTAAAAGACCGCAGGTGTTACTTTTTTTTACCAGAAAGCTTTTGTAGCTTCCCTCATAAGCCTAATTATCTAGTGAATTGTGGAGTACTTAATTCGAAAACCAAATTAAAAATTAGACAGGACGCACTTGCCATCCACAAATTCTTATAATTTACAAGGAACTCCGCTTCTATCCCCTTTTCTAGACCGGACAACAATCTTTTTGGGGGATAATCTTTAATAAAACAGTTAGAGGAACTAGTTAGAGGAATGAAAATTACGTAAGCCAATTTCCACAGCTTGGGGAAGCAAGCTATGGTGGATCTTTGAATTAATTAATATTAAAATCATAGAGATAGCTCGTGAAATTAAGTTCTTAAGCATTATCAGGGCGAGGCTTTTCTAGTATTACGGGATTGGATAATAGTTAAGATTCCGCACTGGTGATAAGCTTAACGTTGTTACATATGTTAGGTCCTAATTGGTTAGTAGCTTTGGTGGACACATGCTTAAAGCGGTGCGCATTCTAATCAATATGAGTAGGCTTTCAGCGCGTCAGCAAATGCCTCTACTATTTCGGAGGACATGGTAGCTGAGGCGTCCAGCACCATGGATGAGCGGTGTTATGCCCTAGTCTCAGTAGTTCGAATAGTTCTTGTTAATTTCCTTTAAGAATTATTCTCTGGCCCAAAAGTCCCTAATTTTTTTGGCCAGCTTTAGTTAAACCAGGCTTTCAAATTCTCCTTAATTTCAAATATTGATTGTAAAGTTTTGTAAAGTTTTTTGTCTCTTGGAAAGAAGAGTTCGGATATCTTGCTTTCGCCTTCTCTTAATCTGAGATCTAATGTGGTTCATAGGGTTATATTGTTGGTTTTTGTGGGCTTACTATAGTTCGCTTTTATAGCTCCTTCCATTTGCACAACAGTTGTGTCTAAATCAAGTACTTTCCCTATGAAGAGCTCCATGGTGTCGATGCTTGTCTAACTATTCCAGAAATGGGGCCCAAACTGGTTACTTTTTCAACCCAGGTTGTCGAGACTGACTTATCTCCTATTCTCTACGAAGGATCCGAAGAGAGTACAAATAGCGTTATTGACGATAACAGGAACCTAAATAATTTATGTTACTGTGGTGATTTAAGCCAATAACAATTAAATATTTTGTCGGTCACTTCGGCAAACTTTATTATATTGTCGCTCTTCCGCCTGCTATCCCACAAAGGGTTTTTAAAGTTTAAATCTCCAGACATAAACCCCCGCTATTATAGGCATAACCTTGCCGAAAGATTTGTAAGGGGCAGTAATATTGACTATCCCATTGTAACAGAGCTCTATATTTACGCAGACAGCTTCTAAAGTTACCTCTATAAAATAGAAGGCTTGGTGGGTAATGTTTCATCCAGTTAAGGCAGCTACGCCTTCTCCTCCAGTATCTTTCCTGTCACGTCTGTAAATAGGATAGTTAGGTGCCTTAAACGGTTACCTTCCTTCAGAGGTGTACAAGATGTAAAATTTTGTCCAGGTTCATACAGGCAATAAATTTCTGATTTGGCCTCCATTTAGATAATCTAAAAATTATTTAATTTCTAAATTAGCTTCTTAATGGATCGCATTGGTAAGTGTTGCTACAAAGTTATTCTTCATGTCGTTTAGGGAGCTGTATTAGTTGCTTCAGGTTCTAAGTTCTGTTTAGTATGCGGTGCGTAGCTTATATTTTCTTTAATGAAAACTTGCAGAATTCTTGGAAGCTTTTTTAGTTGAAAAATTATTATGAATTTTCCTTAAAGGAGCATATTTCTGGTGGTTCTACATCCTCTACAATTTGAAACATGCATTCTTGGGCAATTAGGGCAGGTAGGCTTTTCATTCTCGCTTTTAGTGTAGGATGTCGAGCCTTGAGGACCATTGCATTTAGGGCATTTGTAGCTTGGCTTACAGTATTACACTGTATGTCCAAATAGTTGACATCTATAGCACTGGCCCAATCCCCCCCCCTCCCCCCTCTTCTTTTCAGGAAATCAACCGTCACGGCGATACAACCATTACTTTTCAAATTTAAGCTCTTGTTTCGCATTTTAGCCGCCTTGACGAGTAGGGGTAGGGGTTGTCTTTCCTTTTCAAAGGAGTGCATTTTAATTACTTCAGACGGGTTGAACCATTAAAATATAAGAACCGCCTTTACAGTTTCTGTATCCATTTCTGCGAAAATAGCTGGAATAACCACTTTAAACTCATTTTCACTAGGCAGCTTGTATCCGCAGAGGTTCCAATCTCCAAACTTTCCTCGTCTAAAGGTCACCTTACCTTATGTAACCCTCCTCTAACTTACTTTTCCCCCCTTTAATACACCCATTTACTAAAATTTGTTCCTCTAGGTCTACAATTCTTGAAACTTATTTTAAATTCCTCGTTTAAGCTAAACTCTAAGGGCTTTGTTTACCGATTTATATTACAATCCTTGTTAAGCCATTGAGCGCACCACTGTCCAATTTGGTGACCAAAGTGTATTTTGTCATTAC